AATACCTTAAAAAATCTGTGAAAATATAGTAAAAACGGCGTTAAATTACAATTTATTTTATTTTATTGTTTACAGTATAAAAGCACAACCGGGGCCCAGTGGCTGATGGAAGAACTGCATACAGGGCAAATGAAAAAAATGAAAATAAACAGTTTTATTTACATGTGATAAAGTTTCTGACTGCTGAAGCTTAAAGGATTCACTGTGTTTACCGTGTTACCTATTTTGGATCATATATGCATGAAAGCAGTTAAAGCAGCAGAGGAGGGAGGCAGTCTGACCGTGAGCAAATGTACACAAGACCGAGTCACATAAACAGTTTCTGTGTATGTGTGGAGAACCTGCCGCTTGGAAGTGAAGGGGCTGTGGTCAGAAAATTATTTTTAGCATCCAGTGCCAGAGGTGTTGGTCCCTTGAGGGCCCTGCTATGCTAAGTGGGTAAACAGCTCAGCTTAACAAGGTGGGATTGAGACTCATACCTGTGGCTGAGGATGTGGTCAGGACCGCTTCCGCTGGAGGGTCGACCGCCGGTGACAGAAACTCCTGAATGAAGGTGTGTGAGAATATGTAAATGAGGGAAGGAAGTGGAGGTGATTATCTTTGCATTTGGGACTTTAAAGTGCCTTTCGCATCAGGTAAATTATTACTTTATTGGAGAAGACATTCGCTGTTTCCAAGATGGGTCTTCGATAGGTCTTCAATTTAGTAGCTGGTGTCTGGGCAGTTATAAATCATGCTTTCCTCATTGGTCCTCTCCACCTGGTTCACCTGCAGGTGACCTCTAGTTGCTTTTAGACCGAAGGGGAATCTAAAACCTCAGATGAAAAAAAAACAGCATTTCACGTGAGGAAGTGAGAAACAGTTTCATAATTTCACAGATTGGTCCAGTGGTTACCATGCAGGGAGGGAATAGTGTGCCGATGACAGTTGTTTCCGTCCCAAAAAGCTGCTGATCTTTGCTGGGATTTGATGGTGTCAGTGTGGATTAGCAAAAGCAACTCTCCTCAGCAAGAGGTCATGACACAGTTACCATCGAGTGGATGCTCCTCACAACCTCCCCTGTGTTTCCTTCCCCTGTGGTGCTGAGCTGGCTGTTGTTCTGATGTTAATATGAAAGCCGTGTTGTTATGATGCGTCGTGAGTGTGGATGCTATTGCCCAAAGGTGCTTATTTGAATCATTTATCAATATTTGTGTGTTCTTGTCATCTATAAACTAATAAAGTGACTGTGGCTTCTCAGAAATGTCTGATAGTTGGAGGGTTTGCCGTCAGCAGCTGCTGGAGTTTCGCTGTTTATTTGTGTTGAGATACTTTCGCATAAAGACAGACCTACAAACATTTTGTTTCTGGGAAAATGATGCCAAAATAGACACGAATGGAGGGCCATTTTGACAGGATAGTCTTGAAATACTGTCATCTGTATGTGAACTACAGGGAGGATTATTACTATCTGTGAGTTAGGGATGAATGAGTGCTTTCACCTGTCACCACCAGAGTCTGTAGCAGAAGGTCAAAGCAAGGATGTCTCCAAATAAGGGAATCATGGATGCTGGTGTGTGGTGAGGGGATATGGAACAGGGAGGCTATGGCTGGCTGGTTTTAACAGTCTGAGAATCAGAGGCACCACATCACCACCTAAACATTAGTACCAGGTTGTACCAGGGAGCTTTGCTTTAGTCCGACCATCCTTCAGACACTGCGTTAGCTGTAACACACTTAATTCCATGCCTTGTATGGACGGCCAACGTGCAAGCCTCAGTGATCGATTGATCTGAAGGGATAATGTGCTGCTGGATGCTGGCAGGTTAGACTGACTCATGTAGTGTCAAAGCAGATTGTCGGGGCTTTTACAGGGAACATTTGCGGCTGTCTGAGAACAGGGCGAAAACTGTGAGATTTGGTCAACTGAGATCCTTGTAAAAGTGCTATTAAATGCTTTCTGTTCTAGTTTATTGTGTCATTTTGCTCTCGGTTTGTGCCTCTGTGTGTTTTTAATAGAAACCGATAATGAATTAAATAGTTTTCAGCTGGATTTTTTTGGTTATTGGACTGTTTAAGTGCATCTGATGTACAGAACGTGCAAAATAATGCAGTAGATTCACGAAACCTTTAACTCTTTAAACCCAAAACCTACCAAAAGACATGTTATCCTCAACATTTAAATGAAAAGACACCATATATCAGTCAGAAATACAGAAATAATTAATTGATTTTCTACTTTCCGACAGCCCTAAATCTACTCACCGGTGGCGTGCTGTCCAGTCCAGATAATTAACCAAATCTAAGCTTCATCTTAATTTCTTTATTCTACGTCTCATCTTAAAATTTGCCTAAAATCAACCACTTACACGATCCAAATTCTGTTAAAAACTAAAAATTCTGCTCTCCTCTGTGCAAATGGGAAGCCATTAGTAACTCAGCTCTGATCAACGAACACATGGCAAAAATTCAGGAACTATTTCGCTGAAGTGGACCGAACTACAAATTGTGCTTACACAGAGCAGATAGGAGGCACATATGGAAACAAACTCAAAATGTGAGAGGTAAAACATCCATAGTATGAGTAGAGCCAATATTTTTTCCAGCATTGACAGCAACTTGATTTTTGTAGAATTTAAAAGAAATACAATTTTTCACTTTTGTGGAGTCTAAGAGTGTTGTTTTGTCCTCGTGTTCTGAGGCTTTACACAGACGCTGATGTTTTACCAGTGAAAACATGTCGGGATCATTTTCTAATAACTGAACGGTATGCGTCAGACAGCGACAGCCAGTTATAAACTTTTACCAGCTGGCCTATTAACCCCCAATAAACTTTTAAAAAAATCTAACTAAAGGTGTGTTGTTCTTTGACAGTCGTAAACAGACTTCATAAGCAGTTCATATTTTGCTGCTGGTTTATTGAGTAAATAAACGCTGTAATTATTTGTGCAATGGTCATGCTTTCCTGAGTGCTCATGACTTTACATAAATACCATCTCAGAATTAATTCACTGATGAGGAATAATTATTCGAACAGATGATCTTGTCTTTCCTTCTCAATTAAGACCTCCTATGCTCCTGTGACCTCTCAGTTGTGGACCAGTGAGTGATAGCGATGTAGAACATAGTTGTTGATTAATGGCGGATGAATCGGGGCATTTGTACCAGAGGAACATTTCCCATCCGCTGGCAGCGTGACATATTGATGCTCTGCTGCAGAGCTCTGAGCGTCGGCCTCATTAAATGAACCTCTGTGATGGCGGTGAATGATAGACATCTTCTGGCCGCTGGCTGAGTTTCTGTCTGTCTCTTCATTGTGAGCTGATGACAGACAAAGCTGTCTTTTTTGTTTCGACCCTTCACTTGCTTAGAGGCTCTGTCAACCTGCGGTGTGGACTGACAGGAATATGAGTGTTATCTTTTTTGATGTGTTTAAAGGCTGGACTAGGTGGATCGAAAATGGATGGGTGTGGTACCTGGAAAAAAGTAGATATCTTTTAGATGAGCTGCTGTTACAAACCCATGTGCCCCTACCTAATATGACCCCAAAGCAACACTGCTGCTCTCTACATTATGAAATCACCACGCATCAAACTGATTCATTTTTGTCATAAAATGCTCTTCAGAGATTTCTTCCAGCTTTTCTGTGTTTAAACATACATTGTATTTATATCAGATTTTATTTGTTGTCTCGTAAGCTGCTCTATGTCTTACATCTGGCTTGCAAAACAAAGAACTTGCTGCTAAATACTTTTATCTTTCTGTAGTTAGCCTTGCTGGCATTGTATGCAATCAGACGTCTGTGGGTGAAGAGGAAGTTCTTTTTTTTCCACAATCGCTGCACAGCTGTAGAGGAACACGTGCAGCCAAAGCCTTCTTAAATGGAAACCTCTGTTTAAGAATGTCGAGTTTTTTTAATCGATCTGTGCTGCACGTGAGTCATACATAATGACATCCAGCTGGGGGTTGTTGCAGGGCAATGCAGGCTGCACTAAAGCGCTGTTTCGATCTCACCTTTCCACCTCTCTTCGCCGCCCTTTCACTCTCAGATGGATGGGGCTATTGAGAGCTTCTTTTTTGAACAGTGTGTGTGGTCTTTGACTCAAGCGCTGCTTTACCTGTGCGTGCATGTGTGTTTTAATCGAGTCCAAGGGCTCCCTTTGACGATCAGTATGCATTTAACAACTCAAAAGTGCATCCAGCAGAATACCAGAGGACACTTGCTTTTGTTTTATTCTTAAACTCCTGCGCTATAAAATCCTTTTGTTTTCCTCTATTTAGCTGTTTTTCCTCCCTTTAGTGTTTAGCCTCCTTTAAAACAACCTGACAGCCCCCTATCTTTAGCTGTTATGTGACTGTCCCTAAAGAAATGACCCAGTGTCCTTGGGCAAGGCTTGATGCTATAATGTGTGTCATTGTGCAGCTTGTTGTGCACGCATCTGGCTGCAGGAACAGCTGTTTGTCCTGGGTGGTTTTGGCATGTGAGGGTGCGGTTCAGGGTCAAACCCCATGTCACATTGTTCTGACCCAGTGTGCTTCTGCGGTGGCCTGCTTACGGCCGGGACGACCGGCCTGAGAGTGTGCTAATTGCACGGTTGTGGTGGAAGGGAGGCAGCGGTAGATTTAGCACTGCAGGAAAATGGATGGAAGGATGGGTTTTGGTGCAGCTGTAACCCATGATCATGGCCATCTATAAATGGGCATGTCTCTGTTTAGCACCTAAATGGATAGCAGAAATCTTCTCTGAACCACAACAGTGAAGTCTCCTGCTGAGCGCTCCTGAGTCAGCAAAAGTGAGAAAATAGAGGGAATGGCAAAAAGACGTTCCATAATTAAGGCTTGCTTAATATGCAGAACTGTACAAAAAAAGACTGTCTATATTTGTGCTGCATAAACAGTATAATTTATTGACTGTAAATTTAGCAAGGTGCACTCCTGTATGGAGTTTAAGAGTCATTCCACCCAATTCTCTTCATAAATCTAACATCATTTTCTCTTTTTGTCTCTTTTCTTCTCTGTAGCGGAACCAGCAGACCTCTTGAAGATTTTAGATTTTCACAGTTTACCTGAGGGTGTTACAAAATCAACGGGTTTCTGCTCACATCGGAGGTCAACACAAGGACCCGATGAGGCTTACAGAGTATCCAAAGACGCCCAGCTCAGTGCCCCCACCAAACAGCTGTACCCAGGTGAGTATCTGACTCAAGCCACTCTATCTGTCTACATCTGAGAGCTTTTCAATTTTCCCCTTCAGACATCAAACAAAGAGCTCAAAGCTATTTCTTGCAGAGTTTTTCCATCCTCCTCCTCTGGTTAGTCACTGCACATGTTGTGGCTTTTCCAAGATCTTTAACTCACCTTGCTGTCTGGCCATCTGTTCGGCTCGGTGACCTTTCACCCCACCTCACAGTAAACTACAGATATAATGTTTTAACATGGCGAGAAAGCAATTGGTATTTGCTCCCACCGAGTTTGTTCCTTTCATCGCCTTCAGGTAACAGTTTTATTAGCTCTTTTAAGATGATTATTTATGTCAACTCTGCCTTAAGTTTATAGGATTTCAGAGAAGCTGTGCCTGCTGTTTAATCTTTCACTTCCCAGTAAACATGTTTACTAAAAGATCTGCAGTACGTCTGCATCTTTTATGGTAAGCTCTGCGCTTCCAAAGAAGTGAGCGATGTCGAGCACACTTTTGGTAGCTGAGTTAGTTTAGATGTCACAAACACATTAAAATAAGAAATACAGATAATTCATGCCCCTTGAAAACACACACCACACGCATTGTGATCCAGGCCTGTAATATGTGATGCTGGAGGAGGAGCTGGACGATGGAAAAGCAGTGAAAATAGGGCTGGTAAAGGGGAGGGAAGTCTGGGGTTCCACTTTGCCTTGTTCTATTGTGCTGACGTGGCTTTGAGTTACTGCTCGGCGGTACGCTGCAGTAGTACTTTCCTCCTCCCTCTCCCAGCAGTCTTTCCTTTGCTCCTCTCCCTCCTTCTCCCTTTATTTTCCCTCAAGCGTCATAATTTTTCCCTCTATCATTTCTCCTACGCCGCCGCTGCCTTGCAGTGTTTTCTTCCTTTGTGTTTTATCTAACTTCTTGCCTAGTGAGACGTGCAAAACTCCCTTTTCTGTATGCTTGCTCTGTCTCATTTTGTTCATAACCATAATTCTGTGACCCAGACAACCAGTTTCTCAAAATTATTGTGATCCTTGCTTTTCTTGCAGCTTAAAGATATAGAAAAAAAAAAGATAAACAATTACTCTTCCTGTGAGCTAAGCTTCCACAAAGCTTAGATTGGATGACAGCCCCATTCATGGTTTTCTCAGATGTAACATTGGCCTTAGTGGACCTTTGATCCGGGCCATGACTCTTCCTTGGGGCTTAAAGTAGAGCCACGGGGCTCCTGTGGCCTGCATGCCTGTACATGCTCTCCAATCAAACAAATAGCGTTCACTTTGATGCTCTGTGACAGCGCAGCCTCTTATCAGTCTCTGTTTAGACTCACATGCTGTAATTACACACACGCTACTCCAGATCATCCGAAATAACAGTCTACATAAAACAAACCAATCGGAGGAGTTCATAAGAGGCACCACACGGTCTTAAGGTGCAAACAGAAGGAACTAGCTGTCTGTGGCTTGAAGGTTTTAAAATCCACTCGCAGCGTTTGTGATGTGGCCTCATTCTCGCCTCGACGTTATGAGAATGTACAGCTAATATATTCCAGAAGGCAGCTTAACTTGTGAGATCATTCTATCCATTTCTTTTTTTCCCCCCTTTAACTAAGTTTGCTACTGAGTTATGACTTTGGCCCGAAGCCTGGAAGTACTATTTGCCTAAATTATCAACACGGCATTCTGTCTCCATAAGTAAAACAAATGAAAAAGTCACATATAGAAAACAAGAGCAAGCAAACATTCTCGTTTTGTTATAATATTGCTAACAAAACGCACATAGCTTTGATTAAGAACACACTGGCCCATGACCCCATAACCACAGACAGTCTGTGATGATGTGTTGGAAAAGAGCATGTGCAGACATGCAATCATTAGGCAAACATGTGGAAGGGATGATTCATTTGAAACTACTGGGGCACTGAAAACAGAAGAGACCTTTCTTACCTTTATTATGTGAATGAGAAGTGAAGAAAAAGTCCAATGAAACTGTCTGCTCTCTTTAACTTTTACAACACACAGCATGTTCCTATAGTCGGCCCTCTTCTTGTGGCTCCATATGCATTCAGATGAATCTATGACAAACAGGCACATATGAGCAATCTAAATTTACATTTACATACATATACAAATTCAAGTTGGCATTAGTCTCTGGCTGTCGTTTTGACAATCTGGGAAGTTTATGCAGACTTCTTTCTTCAACCCAGTCTAGGTTTTTCTTGCCATAGTGGATAAGAGCCAACAAACAGAAAGGAAAGAATGATGCAGCAGCTCCTACTTTCTCCCTGAATGGGGTTAGCTGTAGCTTGGCATGTGCGCTTGTGGTCTGAGCTGCTGTGGTGAGATGCCACCGGCCATTCACTTATGTGCCTCTGCTGCAGCACACAGTAAAACAGAAATTTCCAAACTAGTGTCACAAGCTGGAAAATCAATAATGGTTCTGTTGCTTAATAACAAGATTCATGAGTGAAGTTTATGATTATGTTGTTAGTTAGTATCTTAGAAAACATCCCATGTTACACGAATAGCATCATTTAATTCAAAACTAACGTCTAATTGTGTTTATCGCAATTTGATTGAGAGACCTTACACTAAAAAAGATTGTTAGAGCAGAGATTAAAACTGTGGGATTCATTTAGTAGTGGAGAAGTGCAATATGATGCCATCTTATTAATATCCATTAACCCTTTGAACCCCAAAGCACACCAGTGGGTTTGAACGACATGTTAGCTATAACAAATACAAAATTACACCATTTATCAAAGCCAGAAACTTTAGAAACAGTCCTTGAGCGAATCCTGTGTGATGTGCTGTTCTGTCTGAAAACTAAATCTAAGCTTAAACTATAATATTGCTTTAAAATCCCTTTAAATCTACAAACAAAAAATTCTGTGCTCCACGAGTGACCAGCAGTCTTGTGAAAAACGAAAAATCCAAGGACTTTTTGGCTGAACTGGCCTGAACTGGGCTGAACTGGGCTGAATTGGGCTGAACTGGGCTGAACTGGGCTGTGAACTGGGCTGAACTGGGCTGAACTGGGCTGAATTGGGCTGAACTGCAGGCTGTGTTTACACAGAGCAGACAGAGACAAATTAAATGAAATATTTATAGTGTGTAGAGTCACTATTTTTCCAGTATTGGTAACACCTGTGGTAACTTGGAAAAATGCCCCACATGTTGATTCCAGATTTTTTTTCAGTACAAGTTATCGAATAAATCAAATAAAAGCTTAAAGAACCAGAGGAGTGAAGGTTGTGGATAACAGATAATAAGTTGCTTCTCTATTCAGTGTTTTTAAAAATGTATTTATAATCTAAGTGAGCTGTTCACAGCAAATTGAAATGTTTTTTTTTTGTTCTGGACCAAAAATATCCCATAAACAAATCATATTTACATCTCAGACTGTTAGGTAACAGCAGACCTTTGGTTGCATTATGTGATTTGGCCCTTTTTCACGAATGTCTGCCTTTACATAGAGCCTCCTACTCTCCTACAAGCCGGCCCACTTGTTGTCTCCACAGCAGCATGCGGTGTCACTGGAATGCTACTTGTCTCATACAGAAAGAGGGATTTGGACACAGTGATGACTGAATGACCAATTACAGCACGCAAGACTTTCTAGCCCATTTACCAGCTTGTATATGCACTGACAGACGGTGGAGAGCATCATTCAAAGAGAAGCCATTACTCCTGCCCCTCCCTGACCTGCCATCTATTCTTCAGGTTTCTGTACGTTTTGCAGAGGAGGAAGAGTAATTGAGGCGTACATGTCAAGTGTCAGCGTGCGACATTAGTCACAGGGCAAACCATTTTCTCCGTCTCCTTTAACTTGTAAATAAAACCTCCCACCGTCAGCTCTGAGACTTCTACCACACATTCGTTTATTAGACAATAAAAGCTGGCTATATTATACTGGAGATATTTTATCACGAGAAAAGCCGCTTTATTTGGTTATTTAACCCTTGGCGCTTTTTGTTCCTGTCACTGTGGCTCATATTTCACTGCAGTATAAAGTCCTGCACTTCTGTGGTAACAACACAAGTTATGATGCCATAAATCATGAAACTAATTAAGTTAAACTTGTTTGATTACCTATTTTACAAGAACAAAAAAAATGGAATCAACATGTACAACATTTTTTTTATGTGTTACCAATACTGGAGAAAATGGTGACTCTACATACTATAAAAAATTTACTATTTACAGTTTCAGTTTATTTACAGACTTGTGGCTGTTTTCTGAAATAAAACATGTAGAATAAAACAATTTAAGATTAGATTTGGTTAATTTTCTCACCCGAGCAGCTCGTCACAGATAAGTAGTTCAAGGACCATGAGAAAGCTCAAAATTTTTTCTGATTTTACAGTTTCAGGCTCTGATATATGGTATATTATTGGCGATTTTTGAAAAAAACAACATGCGTTTCAGACCCACTGGAAGGTTTTGGGGTTCAGTGGGTTAAAATGTTCCCAAATGGCTGGTTCACGTGTCCTGGGTTGGCTTTTCTGTCTTTCCCAGACGTTTTTTGGCCTGACAGCGGCTGTGGTCGTGCCAGTGTGAGCTCCCAGGACTAGTGGCACCACGGGCTTTCCATTCCCACCATATCGACACTCACACTCTAAATGAGGAATGAGTATCTCTCATCTGGTGGCCTGAAGCAGCAGGTTGAGAGAGCATTCCAGAGAAACCAGAGCTTTTTCTGAGCGACCCCTCCCCTCTGTTCCCACTTCAGGAGGAAGGCAGCCTCCTTCTCTCTCCATCATTTGAATGGACGTTTCTCACAGGGCGTCAGGTCCTCGTCATGATGGCAGGGAGGGTAGATCAGTGCATAAACACGAATCCACAAATGAGATCCCTTGCAGTTTGATTTTGGCCACTGCTTTAAATACTTCAGACTTGGAAGTTATTTATTCTCATTTCTTTTATCCCTCTCCATTGTTGTCCTCGATGGCGTGGTTTCTCAACCCTGTGCCGACCCTTCACCTCCACAAACAGCCTGTCCTGAACCAACGCTGACTCATTGTTTCTGTACCAGACCAGCTCATGTAACAATAAACTCTCCTTCATATTGTGTTTCTCTGGTGTTTCCCACTTTTTTTTTTTTTTTGCACCATAACCCTTTTAGTTTCATACATTAGGCCTTTCAAAGATAATTTTTTTTTTAATCTGTCATCTTCACCGAACTCCCTCACAGGAGGAGGCTTTTGAAGGGTCGTCCGTCTCGTCTTTCTCCTTCTTGTCTTCTCTTGCTCTCTGCTTTACACCATCCCGGCGAAGCATCTGTCAATTAAAGCAATGTTTCTCATATGATGCCAAGCAGAATTCCTGAGGGAGCGCACTGCCAAGGCATGTGCTCTCCGCATGATGCGATTTGATGCCTGGCATTAATGAAGGAATGATAGAAAAAGGCAGGAAGACCGAGACAGGAAGGCAAACAGACATCCAGATGCTGACAGGGTGAAAACAAAAGGGAATAAAGTGAATGGTTGATGGTGGCAAAATTTGGTGCTGTAGCTTCTCTTCTTCTTTTTCTTCTTCTTCTTCTTCTTCTTCTTCTTCCTTTCCTCTCCTCTCCTCTCCTTTCCTCCGGGTGAAGGGGCTTTGATGGCTGCACGAGGCGCTACAATACCACTGTAGCCACAAGCCCAGCCTCTCTTTTCCGGCCGTCTGGAAATCTCTTCTTTGCACATGCTGTAAAACAAGAGAAAGCTACTGGGATTCAAGTGGTTTCTTTGCTTATGTTAAATATAATCCAGATAGCTGCTTTGTCATAACAATAGCGGCTTTAATATGGTCTGATAGCTTCTTTCTTCTCTCCTAACTAAAAGATCAGAAAGTTCTGTTTGCCTCAAGTGTAGTCTGACCTCAACATTAGCGAGCAACTGTCTCCTCGGGTATTTGGAAAGCCGGCCCCTCTTTCTGGGGTCCTGAGAACACCCCACTAAGGGGAATTTGTCTGGCAGATGTGTTCCATACTTGAGCAAAATGGAGGAAATACTTGAGGCTGCACAGTGGAACCATGCAGATGGTGGCTCGCACATCTTTCTCGTATTGGTTATGTGTTTTCATACCAATATTCTGGTGGTATTTCCATTTCCACACAAATGTGCCTTTAATTATTTCTCCTGTAAAACTTTCGCTGCTCTCCAGCCCTTTCACTCCAGCGTCTGTTAGATCCATCATCTGTGGGAGAGGAGAGGAGGATAGTTTGACAACGTCTCCCAGGATCACATGCTTTTGTCATTAATGCTTCTCATCCTGTGCTGCGCTGGAAATGATCCACTTCTTCTAACGTTTTCTTTTTTTCCCCCCTCCTCTCTGTCCAGCCTCTAGTCTGCCTGCCATCCCTTTCAGATTAATCCTATCCTGTTACATTTTGGGCACTCCACGAATCGCTGATGTTTCCTTTTGCTGCTCGAAGCCCAATCTTTTGCAATTCCTCCAATCTAAATGATCTGTTTTTCTAACATTTCTTTCCATTAGAAGTAGCAATAAAAACATCACACTCCCTCTTGACACCAAAGATCACAGCCTGTCTCCTAGAATAATAATACGATTACAACATCCTGAACACAAAACTAGTATTTCATTCTTCTCCTTATGATGATGATGATGATGAATGGTTACTGCTACTTAGCTGTCCAAAAAACTTCTCTCTCTCTCTCTCTCTCTCTCCAACCCACCATCCATCCTGCCAGGTGATGTCTTCCCTGAGGACTTTTCCATCTTGGCCACAGTGAAGCCTAGGAAGGGCAGCCAGTCCTTCCTGTTGTCCGTGTACAATGAACAGGGCATCCAGCAGCTCGGACTCGAAGTGGGCCGCTCTCCAGTGTTCCTGTACGAGGACCACACAGGCAAACCCAGCCCCGAGGACTACCCCCTGTTCAGAGGAGTCAACCTAGCTGACGGAAAGTAGGTTCACTCGCCAACACCTCAGTCGTACGGTGCGCTTAAATAAACGTTCCGCTTTTTGTTTATTCACCTTCCCCTCTAATCAAACTCCAGGTGGCTGCGCTCGGCTTTGATAGCAGTTTATTTTCATTTTAGCGGTTCAGCAGCACCTGAGCCAGGTGTCTCTTTGCAAGCGACTTACATGCCACTTTGCGACATGGCGCTTTTATTCCTCGATCTCTTCAAATGTGCGACTATTGCCACCAAAAACTAGGCTTCAAGGCTGAAATGAGATAGTTACAAAACAGAAAGGGATGTATTTGAATTTGAACAGACAAAACACAAAAAAAGGGGCCCGTAGCCTGTTAGCGCTTTGTAATTGGGCAGTGTGTAACCCAGTAAGTGTGTGAATTAACTTTACCTCCCATTCCAGGTGGCATCGAGTGGCCATCAGTGTGCACAAGCAGACCATCACCCTCATTCTGGACTGTAAAAAGAAGACCACCCAGAAGCTGCTCCGAAGCCCCCATCCCATCATTGATACCAAAGGAATTATAGTATTTGGAACTAGAATACTTGATGAAGAAGTCTTTGAGGTAGGCAACACTCTGTAACTCCTCATCTGCTCTTTTTAAAAAATCGTTTAATTGCACATTTTAGCAGTTTAATGGCCATTCGGGACTGTCTGTGCGAGGGTTCGCTGGATGCCATTTATGGATGCCAGATTCACACTAGCTTTCCACTCAGCTGCGTGCAATTTGGTACGTTTGTTACTTGTGAATTGATTTATAAGTCTGACAACTAATTTGCATCTCCCGTTAAATGCTATTTTCATAAGCATACCGACATACCAGTCGCTTTTAATAGGTGATACTTAACGTCAGGCCAGCTTGACTTTGATTTAAAGCTCTTAAACAAATGAGTTAAAAGCTAATTCGATGGTTCATTCATCATCCTTTAGTTGCAGAACAGACACATATGGCTGTGGTGCAAATGATGGTCATCCCCAATTCTCATTCTTCTCGATATGGGAGATTGTGGTGGCGGCCACATCCTCTATAGATGTGTGGATTTGGCTCATGCAGCCCCCAGCATCTGATCCCCCCGACTTCTGCCACCCACTCACACACATGCACACAATCACAAATCAAACTTAATTTTAGGTACCATATATTCCACATCTTCCACAAAAGAACTTCACGTCTCGGAATTCTTTTGTGTTTCCAACTGTGCTGCATTTGTTTGCTGCTCAGCTCTGCATCTGATGCTGCCGTTTTTGTAGTTTTTGTGGCTTCTGAAACCTATAAGTCAAACTGTTATATTTCTGTTGGTGGTTTCATGTCTGAATTCTTTGTCTGAACTGGCTGCAACGTTTTTGTTTTTAACAAGCAGTTACATGTTTGAATTATTAGAAAGAGAGTTTTATGTCCTCATTTCTCCTCTGTTTATTCTTAGAAAAGCTTTGTGGCAGGAGATAAAACATGCATGGTGATGTGACTAGTGACAGGAAGCATTTTGGGGTTTACAATACACCAAGATACCTGATATGGCTCAAATACTATTTGCTTTTACCTAGTGTGAAGAATTCATTTGGATAGCACCGATAATGAGCTTTTGTGTGGGTGTTTGTGGCTCTTAAACATGACCCCTGAGAGGGACACACACACACACACACACACACACACACACACACACAGAGCACAAGGAATAGTGTTGTCTTTGTCCCTTCAGAGTTGTGCTTGTTTAAAGGGGGATTAGTCTATGAGGCCGAGGCCCTCAATAATAATTAGTAACAGAGGCTGACTGATGTGACTGATGCTGAGCCAGCTGACCTTTAACCTTACTGCTGCTCAGCGAGAACAGACGAAAAGAAAGAAATATGACATCACCGCTTTTCCGAAAATCGCTGAAGTCGGTCTGCCAAGCCATAGGCGAGATAGATATATGATGGGATATAAAACTGAAATGAACATTTTGCTGCTTGCCCTCATTTGGAACCATGAACTAATCATAGCTCCGCATAACCAAAACCAGGTTTCCATATTTCAAGAAAGACAATCTGCATCAGTAAGATGTACTGTACAGATACACAAGTGTGATGGGAAAATGTGATTTATGGGTGAAGCAGGGAAGCACAACACTGTTTGATACTGCACAGGCTATGTTCACGTTTCTAGTGAGACTGAACTATTAAATGCAGCATTAATACACATGTTGTTGTGTGTGTGTGTGTGTACGTGTGTGTCATAGCTGTTATTTCCCCCAGGCCTAATGGCTGTTGGTGAATTCCTCCGGTTGCCAACAAGATGACTTCATTTATCCAGTTGTAATTCTGCCCTAATTTGTTGTTGTTGTTGTTATTGCTCACAGTAAACCCGTCATAAGACTGAGGTGATACAGGAACAATTTAAAATCTCAGACATCTGTCAAAGCTGCAGTAACAGTCCAGCGGTTACCGTGGGAACGGACAGATATTGTGCAAGATATGTTTAAAGCCCTCCTGCTGCGTGTCTGCCAGTTGGGAGACAGGACAGGCTCCAGAGCGTGCAGAAAATGGAAAATATGCCACATAGTTTCCAAATTATGCTCAGGCTGCGCTCCTTTCCTCCCCTGACTCCCTTTTCCCCTTTGTAGTCGAGTCTGATCCTGTGTTGACTTTTGCCAGAGTTGGTTACCAGCGAGAGGTGGTCAGCATGAAAACACATACACACTCACACACACACACACACACACACAAAAAGAAAATGTGTTTGATTTCACTGGCAGGCCAATTAAGTTTCGGGTGACGCAAGGCCCTGTGATTTCCAGTCAATCTCTTTAGAAAAACGGCATGTTTTTTTTGTTTTTTTTTCCAAAGTAGATTTTTGATGAGGACCTCCTCTGGTGAAAATCAAGGTTTTTTTTTTTAGCTTGTTAACATGTCCTAATGGTGTTTTGGGTGAGAGACATATCATTAGCAAAATATGCAGTCATCACCAACATTAACTTGAAAACTGCAGATAGTCCCAAACACGGATTCAAACTTTTGGGCAAATATGTGACAAATAGATGAAACTAAATTCTGTTAACTTGCAGTTTGGAACTTTTTTCATGTATGGCTGAATTACTCTAATATTACAACTTTCCGCTGTGTAGTGTAGAGTAGCTTCACTGTTTGAACACAGTCAAAAGTGAGCTGTTGTGCTCAAGTTGCATTGAGTGTGAGCAAAGAAGGACTACGTAGATCCACACAGTCTAGAAGAAGCAAAGGTGCAGCGTTACATTTAGGCCATTTAATGGACAAAACTCCTACAGATGTAACTTTGATACACAGAGATGATTCTTGTGAGTTAAATCAATGATTTAAAGGATTTAAAATCACAGACTTAAAGACAGAAGCGAGACAATTTGATTTACCGTTAAATTATGGCGAACGTTTTTTGTAGCAGCCTATGCCTTTGCTTGCATGCAGCAGTCAGAAGAGAAGTAGTACTTATAGGCTGAGGTGGTTTGTGGTTTGGTTTGTGACAAGGTTATTGTGGTCGCAGAGAGACTGTCTACCCTCTATAAGCACCATAATGTTATTTCTTTTCTTGCAGCTTGCATAAGAGTGCTGTGCTTGTGCCGGTGAAGACTAAGAAGCTGATTACTTGTATTTTACCAGGCAATCAATGCTGCAAATGTGATGCAAATGAAACTCTTTAATTTAGATGTAAAAATCAGCCAAGTGGCATTATCTTTGCAAATTCACCTCGTGACCTTTCACTGTGTTGTTTGTCTCCTCGCCTTGTGGTTGTTCGAGCGTATTTTTATCTCCGTTGTTCAGAAAGTTAAGGCCATCCACAAAACGTGTCCCCTGACTTCGTTGCTCACTTGTTTCCGAGCGAGTTTGCCAAGAAAAACCAGAGATAATTTAATGCCCGTCCCCTCGCTTCTAAGTAGCATTCAGTGAAATAACCGTCTGGGGTTTGTCTGAGGGAACGCAAGTGGAACAGATGCACCGCTTGGCCTCGCTCAGAGGTAATCCGCAGGGGACGGTGGGTGAATCCAAGTAGCCGAGGTGGAGCTGTGCAAACACAGCACTTCTTGTCTGGCCTTTGTTGTCTCGGCTATAGCGGAGCGACAGCATCCTGTATGAATGTGGGCGATGATGTACCGTGGTGTATCAGTTAAAGCTTACCCGAGAGTTGGAGGAGAGGATGTGTATGTGTCAAGAAAACAAGATGCAAAATGTTCAGGATTGAGAGAGGGGAAGCCGAAGCAGTAGGTGTGGGTAGAGGAGCCAAAAATTTTGGGTCATACTCTGGAAAGAATGAGGAGCTCTCTCCCCACTGATGTCAGTCTTGGAACAGAAGCCCACCGCATGACATCATCCAGAGGTTTCCTTGGTATCCACTGATAGGCCGGACCAGGCCTGGTGGAGTGGGGGGAAGGTGGGGGAGGTGGACATGCATGTGTGTAAGTGGCTGATAAGTTGGAAAGAGGAGGACACAAAGTGTGATGTGGACTGAGGTTAAGATGTACTGAAGTAAAGGATTAGGCTGGGAGTGAGTGGGGGCTTTACAGACTTTATGATAAGAGTACAGGAGCAGTGCAAAGGACTGGGAGCCTTTAATAGGACTGGGATGATGCTGGTTGTGGGGCTCCTGCAGCGCAACCACAGCCAGGAAAAAGTAGTAAAAACACGCAACACAAGAGCTTGATGCTCGTAATGAGCTTTAATATTGCGCTGGCCTGATGAGTTTTACACATCCTGTTTCCTCATCCTTACCTCAGGACTTGACTTCATTTTTCCTGCCACCCTCGTTTACAGTTTACATGTTTCAGTCAGCTGAGGTAAAGATTTGACAAGATGATTTATATAGTTGTAGCAGACTTTCCAAATTCACAGAAAGATTTAGGTTCTGAATTGGTTACTGTTTAATATAAGTTACACCAAGCAGTTTCTGGTCGGTTTTTTGCTTCCTTTCACATTTTGACTAATTTTTTACTGCAGTATAAAGTCCTGCACCTCCAAGGAAACAGCACAACCCTGACTAGAAGTAGAGAGACCTCAAAAAAGTTGTTTGTGAAGTATAACACAGTTATAAAGTTAGAAACCATAGAAAAAAAGAATCATAAACCAGACTATAAATCGTCTTTTGTGCAATATGACAGTTATAATGCCATAAACTATCAATAAACAAAACTTGAAAGTTAAATTTCTTTGATTATTCTTTTTACAGAAAGTCTGTACTTACCAACTCTACTTACTATAGATATTTTCTACTTGCATTTTAAATCATCTTCATCATTGTCTGTTATCTGTGCGGTGCAAACACAGCCTGCAGTTCAGCCCAGTTAAGACAAAAAGACTGAATTTGTGACACGTGACCACTGGTTGCAACTGAGTCAGCCGTTGCTTTACATTTGTGCTGACGAGTGTAGAATTTTCTTTATCTTTTTACAGAATTTGGTTAGACGTGCAGAAAATAGTGATTTTATTGAAATATCATGATTTTAGGCTTATATTTGGATAATGTTTTGACGAGATGATACAACTTGTCTTTCAAAGCTGCTGGCAGGTTTTGGAGTTCAAAGGGTTAATTGTTACATTCAGTAGCTGAAACAAAACTAG